CCATTAGGTTTTAAAACTGTGTACTCTCTCGTTTGTGTCTCTCTTCGTGCAAATATTTGCTGGATTGGATTTGCGATAGTGTAACCAAACACAGAAATCAGCTTCACAGGAATTGTAATGCACTGAAAACAGCCAGTGAAGTCCTAGCACCACTTGTGTCCTTTATCAAGGAAATATGTACAGTACAGTGTACACCACAGCAACATGTTCGGCTGAATGGCGGTTAGTTTGGATATCTAGAAACAACAGGCATTAGAATAATGCATTCTGCGGCCTGGAATTTTATGGGTATTTACACTGCGAGATATGAAACAAGGGCCCAGATGTCAGTGTTGATCCATCAGAAAAATGAACAGTCCCGGTGAATTTTCTACAACATACAAAACAGTAAAATACACTGTGAGTATAAAATGTTAGATTTTTCTTGCACTGACCTCAAGCAATGGTTGGATTGAGCTGGATTGAAGTGGAACCCATACTGATACATAAGGATAAGGTTATTAAAGTTATACTGCCTGTCCGAAAACAAAGTCACACGCTCTAATATTTAGTTGGACCACCACATTTGATTACGGCACGCATTCACCATGACATTGTTTCGATAAGCAATGTCACAACATTTATTTCCTTCCAGAGTTGCATTGATCTTTCACCAAGATCTTGTTGCGATGACCACCGCATAAAGTCTTCTCCAGCACATCCCAAAGATTCTCAATGGGGTTGAGGTCTGGACCCTGTGGTGGCCAATCCATGTGTGAAAATGATGTCTCATGCTCCCTGAACCACTCATCACAATCTGAGCCCGATGAATCCTGGCATTGTCATTTTGGAATATACCCAATGTGCCATCAGGGAAGAAAAAGTTTATTGATGGAAAAACCTTATCATTCAGTATATTCAGGTAGACAGCTGACCTCATTTGGGCACATAATGATGCTGAACCTAGACTAATTATCCAATGAAAGGCTCTGACTTTGTCTCTGGCTAAATCCAGGTGGTGACTTTTTTTTTCGACAGGCATAGCATTTTGTACATGAAAAAACACTTAAAATGCTCAAAATATTATATGTTTTCTGAAAGCAGAGGGCCGATAGGATAAAATGATGGTAGGTACATTTTTAGAGGGTGGGTGCAATAGCTAGCTTGCTATTGGATATTGCAAATTGAGGTAGCCAATAGGAATCTAGCAACTGTCAGAATATAAAAAAAAACCCCTGCAGATAGCAAAGAAGATATTGCTTTCTGTGCTATCTGCCATTATTTTAGGGGGGTGTTCTAACCCCCCCCCCCTCGGATGGGGGGGCGTAGAGGGCACCTTCCTGAAATGAGAAGGGCACCTCCCTGAAATTGCTTATTTCAGGTTGAGATCCCTGCAGTAGCCAAAATTTTCTACAGGCAACACTTTAAAAGCCTTTACAGCTGTTTAGTTTAAATAAATTCATAAATGATGGCCCTACGATTATTATCCTCACTTTGGAGTGCATAGTGATAATTAATATGTAGTGCCCAACCAACGTTATCATGTGCATTAAGTTCCTATCTGCATGTATGTGGGTTTGGGGGACTTTTAAAAATTTGAGGTTTTGTTTTCATATATTTTAAAGAACTTTACATTTTTTTAATGTTTTCTTTTTTATATATATATTTTTTTACTATCATATGGTTTACTCTCCCCACATGATCTCCCTTGTCCATTCACAGAACACCTTGTACTCTCAGTAAACAATACAAGATGTTTTGTGAATGGCCAAAGTGCCAAGTGAGTGGCCCGCTATCTTCTCTGTAAGAGAACTGAGTTTGTATGTTTTGGGGTTGGAAGTTTTGTGCTTACAGAAGGGTCGGGGTGCAAACAAATCATTGTTTTAAATAATGCAGCCAGCCACAGATGAGACACCCTTCATTAGTGATAAGTTATTAGTTATTAGCTGACCAAAACATTTTTTTTCCCCTGGAGTCCTGCTTTAATACTTTTTCTAAAATCTACCAAAGTGTCGGACAGTTTCATTATCAATAAGTACACAAGAAGAACTCTCATTACTTCCTGTTCAGTTTTCAACCAATCGGATCCCCTGTGTTCACTACACCCACCAGTTAGCTGATTGGTTAGCTGATTTTACTGCTCAGTTCAGGAGTACTGTGAGTCAAGGATGTGTAATGGTGCTTCCCCAGGGGGCGTTTCATTGACATCCTTGGCCCACAAGAAATGGGTTTTATGACTCTGGCCATCAGCACTTGATGCTGCCATTGTCATCTCAGTCTCCTACCAGGTATGTAACAGATTTGTGCATGAAAGGGAATATATTCTATAACCTGACATCAATAATCTTGTCAGTGTTTGGTAATAATTTTTAAATCTTTTTTATATATACAGTCTATAATTGCATATGTACATCGTGGCAGTCATATTTGCTCATTACATGCTCAGGCTCTACATTTAGACTGCTGCAAAATGACTGTGTTTTGCTGCTCCTTCTCATAATGCGAGTGTATAGGTTGGAGGGCTGAAAACAATGCATTTCTTCTGTGGCCGATATCTTATCCCAGTAGTTGTTAGGCCAGGAGGCCTAATGATGTTGAATAAAAAAGAGAGCTCACTCTAGTGGTTAACCTACAAATATCTACATTGTATTGAATAACAAAAAATATGGAAGAGCAAAATATTTCAAAAATAAAAATTAGTGATGCACAGATACTATTTTTTCCAGACCGATTACAAATACCAATACTTTTCCTCAAGTACTCGCTGATACCTTTTTTAGTGCCATGTGACAGTTTTTTTTAAAACAATAAAGACTAATGATTTTAGGACAGGGGTGGAGCACCAGGTCCTGGTCCCAGCTGCAAACGCTGCACCCCACTGCACCAGTCCTACATAACAAACTGGCCCCCCACTGCACCAGTCCTACATGACAAACTGTTCCCCGCTGCACCAGTCCTACATAACAAACTGATCCCCGCTGCACCAGTCCTACATAACAAACTGATCCACGCTGCACCAGTCCTACATAACAAACTGATCCCTGCTGCACCAGTCCTACATAACAAACTGGCCCCCCACTGCACCAGTCCTACATGACAAACTGTTCCCCGCTGCACCAGTCCTACATAACAAACTGATCCCCGCTGCACCAGTCCTACATAACAAACTGGCCCCCCACTGCACCAGTCCTACATGACAAACTGTTCCCCGCTGCACCAGTCCTACATAACAAACTGATCCCCGCTGCACCAGTCCTACATAACAACCTGATCCCCGCTGCACTAGTCCTACATAAAAAACTGATCCCCGCTGCACCAGTCCTACATAACAAACTGATCCCCGCTGCACCCGTCCTACATAACTAACTCCCCCCCACTGCACCAGTCCTACATAACAAACTGGCCCCCACTGCACCAGTCCTACATAACAAACTGTTCCCCCCACTGCACCAGTCCTACATAACAAACTGTTCCTCCCACTGCACCAGTCCTACATAACAAACTGATCCCCGCTGCACCAGTCCTACATAACAAACTGATCCCCACTGCACAACTACTACATAAGAAACTGCCTCCCCGCTGCACTAGTCCTACATTAAAAAAACTGCCCCCCACTGCACCAGTCCTACATAACAAACTGGCCCCCCACTGCACCAGTCCTACATAACAAACTGTTCCCCACTGCACCAGTCCTACATAACAAACTGATCCCCGCTGCACCAGTCCTACATAACAAACTGATCCCCGCTGCACCAGTCCTACATAACAAACTGCCCCCCGCTGCACCACTCCTACATAACAAACTGATCCCCGCTGCACCACTCCTACATAACAAACTGATCCCCACTGCACCACTCCTACATAACAAACTGCCCCCTGCTGCATAGCAAACTGCCCCCTTTCCTGTTGCACCAGTCCTGCATAACAAACTGTACCCCCCCCTCTCCTCTTGTTGCACCATGTCTATCACTTGTCTAATATCAGTTTGATAGTTTTGTCTGTGTTACAGGGACACTGACAGCATCTTCTGAATGAATGAGGTAAGCAGTGTCTGCAGGCTTCAACCATAAATACATTATAACAATATTGTTACAATGTATTCCGTTTACATTTTTGTTACAAATCAAACACTTGTCCTTCAATCTGTTGCAGCAAACCTGTAACTGTAAAAAAAATTTATGAAATATAAATATTAGCCCCCCAAAACTAATAGTTACCTCAATCAGCCTTTATTAACTTCTTCCTCCCCTTCTCCCTTAGCTTTACCATTTAACCATTAATAGAAAAATGTTTAATATTGTTTTTTTTATGTTACATCATGTATCATGGCGTGGCACTTTAATTATAGATTCACTTTATTCAGTCACAACCCAGGGGGATTGTCAAAGCTTTCTTTGTCTGCAGAAGCTGCCAGCCCGGTAATATATCATTTTGAGGGGTTTAAGTAATTCTTATGCCTAAAGTGTGGATTTTAACATGTATGCAAAAGTGTTAAAATGTGGAACTGCACAAATATGCACAAATTAGCAGCATATAGATGAGAGCTTGTCAGACATTGTAAAAGTATCTTTTATTGGAATGCATTTTCAAACAGAAATACAGTACAAATATGTAACTGCACCCTGACATCTATTATTATTATTATCATCAGTATTGTTGTTATTATTAATAATAATAATAAGTAGTAGTTTTATTGTTATCATTATTAATATTATTGTTCATATCCAGAATGTCCACTAGACGGTAGCCTGCGTCTATTCATATTATTATTAACATTATTAATAATAATAATCGTTTTATTGTTAACATTATCAATACAGTATTATTGTTTCCATCCAGATTGTCCACTAGAGGGCAGCCTGCGTCCATTAAATGTCTCCGCTACAGAAGCATGGTTGCGGCGCAGACCCTACTGCGTTAGGATATGCCATGGACTCCAGAACAATGGCGGACTTTCTATACTCTAGTGATCAGTCTAAGCAAGTAGAGGTCGGCTGGTGACGTCAGAGATCTGCGCCTCACAACTGCTTCAACCTGTCAGTAGAGAAGTGGTGTGTGTAGGTGATGCGGAACACCGGAGAGACTGAGGAGAGCCGGCTCACCCCATGCACCGGAGCCAGGAAGGGGTGGACACCCGGACCTCCACCGGGACACAGACCGAGAGCATGCAGGGTGAGAGAGCAGGCTCTGAATACACTGCCAGGCCATTAGAGCTATGGCATGTCATCCTATGTGGGGGGAGGGCAGATTTGCACCTGTAACACTTTCCATGCCAGAGCCATTTTTTTCCCCCCATCGTTAAATCGCTCTAATGTGTTTCAAATCTTTTTTTTTTTCCCAGTAAAAAATACTCAAATTAATTAAAGTACACAAACACAATGTAACACACCAATTGTGTGTGCCCGTGAGAAGGTGAAAACTGCAGCACCCAGACATGTCCATCCGTGATGCTTTAAAAGCCTTTACAGGTCATCAGTTTAGGCTTAACGGTGAATGTTAGCCCTAGAACAGGGGTAGGCAACTCTGGCCCTCCAGCTGTTGTGGAACTACAAGTCCCATGAGGCATTGCAAGATTTACAGCTACAGGCATGTCACCCGCAGGCATGTTCGCACTTGTAGTTAGGGCACAGCTGGAGGGCCACACACACAGCCTAGAATTCTTGTTCTCAGTCATGCGTGCCTGGTGATATCCAATATGTGTAGCGCAGCCTTTGGTTTGCACACAGGTGCACCCGACATGCACGTTTCAAAAAAACTTGGGGGGGGGGGGGTGCTTAAAATTTTTCTATTATTACATTTGTGTGTGTATGTAGAGATGAGATCTAAAATGTTAGCATTTTTTTCCATGTAACTTTTCTGCTATCACAAGGGGCTGGTAAGTCCTCTATGTGATAACATAGTTCAGGGGACCGCTTCTGGGTTTGTTCTTCATAGGGGCGAGGTCAGTGAACAGCTGATCTCCCGCCGTTTTCCATTCTGGCACGTGCCATGGTGAGCCTGGGAATCTAGCCGGGACAGGTGAGCCCGGAACACATGGTGGTATGGGAGCGACCTGAATCACTTCTACGTGAAAGCCTGCAGCCAAAATGTAAAGAAAGTCCTGGCTGTTGATTTTGTGTACATGAAGGCGCTGCCACCGATGTAACAATTATATTGATGGCAATGAGAAGGTTAAATCCTGCAGGGGAATGCTGGCCACACACAGTCAGATTTTGTGTCAGATCAGCAACCTTCACCAGATGGTCAGCACAGTTTGAATGGGCCGTTCAGGTCGGAGCTCACACTGCATGGACGTTGGTCTGTTTTGTTGAGATGATCAAATCTGAATCAATATCTGACTGTAAACCTAGAAAGAGCGAATGTGTGAATAGATGAGGGGAGGTTTCATTATTTCATGATGCGACTCTCCTTTCCTTACCTAAGTGATTCTTTTTATTTTTCGCTCTCTCGGGGCATCACCCATGGTATGTATCTTCTCAAGAGGTTTTGTCAGCCTGTAAAAAAAACGAATCCGTAACATAGAAGCTGTCCAAGAAAATTCACACCAAGCCCCCGCACATCACTCCTAGCAGCTTGTTTACTGTAGCTCAGGGTCAGCAAACCTCCGGCCCTCCAGCTGTGGTGAAACGACAAATCCCATGATGCATCTCTCTTCGGGAGTCATGTCTGTGGCTGTGAGAATCTTGCAATGCCTCATGGGATTTGTAGTTCCACCACAGCTGGAGGGCCGGAGGTTTGCTACCCCTGCTGTACCTGATGTCATACGAGATAATTTCTTTGTGGATTACAGAACTGTCCCCACAATCCCCTCCTAGCACAGAGAACGTCTAGTGACATATATTGTTTTTAAAATACAGGTCAGGTTCCGAGGCTTTCGAAAGTGAACTTATTTACACTACTGAGCCTTTGGATGGAGGTTTTCCCTTCCCGAGAAGATGCAGAGAACAAGAAGCAACCTCAGGTATGTGTTGGGCCACCTACAAAGTAAATGTATTTTTGTTTCATTGTCAGTCATCTAATGCTAGCAGTACAGGGACACGTATGGTGCAGTGGCAAAATGTTCTCCATGCACTTGTATAAGTTTCGATGCAGTCATGTGGTTTCCAACTTTGTAATTGTTTTGGCATCTGACTCAACTGGCCGTGTATGGCTGTAAGGTCCAATGTCAATGGTACTGTGTACTCTACAAGGGTTGCAAAATGTGTTGGCACAATAACGTGCAGATCATGAAACTAACCTAATGCCCAGCTGGTGGTTGTGCAGCCTTCCCAAATTCAGTCAGCGCTGGAGGATCGGACAGGGGGGAAGGGGAGGGGGGAATCCCTGCAGGGAGCCGTGAGTGACAGTCACGGCTCTCTGCAGGGATGGATTGAGAAGTGAGCGAGCGACGCTATGTGTTCACTTCCCAATCTATTGAGCCGACCTGTGACAGTTTCATTGTCACACGTCGGCTAGAACTATGTGGCTGAGTGATTTTCAATCGTCTCATAGTTCTCCTTTTAATGAATGGGTTACTTGACTCCAACATAAAAAATCTGTTTTAGGTAGATTGACCTGTTTAATAGAATGTAGCTTTTATTTATGATGTCTTTTTTGCCATATTACTTAATTCCTAATTTCTTACAGCAGATAAAGAAGACCGGTCTTGTAGTTGTGGGTAACATGAAGATTATTGGACTGCACTGTTCCAGCAGTGAGCTCCATGCTGGTCAGATTGCAGTCATAAAGCATGGCTCAAGACTCAAAGATTGCGATCTGTATTTCTCCAGAAAGCCGTGCTCTGGCTGTCTGAAAATGATTGTAAATGGTAAGTAAACATCTGTGTCTCTGATGTCAGCTATGGCCTGTATGTGTGTGTTTCAGGAGGGTTTGCTGAGAATTACCATGCAACACACTTTTATTTATCTTTGCTGTTTTCTTGCAAGGCTTCCCTCACAAGGTTTCATCGGGTTTCCCCGAGTCTTTGGCCTCCATTGTGTGAAGTTAGGTGCACTGTGACTCTCCTGTAGAAAAGATAGAAACATTTTTTGTTTTGTGGGGTTTTTTTGCTTTTTTTTTTATTTTTCAACAACTTCAGGTCCACCATACTTTTAAAAACAGTGGCAACCTGAAGTGGTTATAACAATGGCGATGGCTGTTACATAAAAGCGTTTGGGTGGCTGCTAACTATCCTGGGCTCAACTGTCCTTGTGCGGGCCTGGGACCAGCAAAGCGGATCAGTGTTCTTTGATCAGAGAGAGGTCAGCACACTTCCAGCTGCTAATCTCCCCTCCGAACACTGGGAGCGATGTGTATTATATCGCTTCCAGTTTCAGTGTGAAGCTGGTTAAGTACAATCTCTGCTTCATCAGCTTGTTTGGGGTGTATAAGTAACATTAGGGGTCTAATAGACCCCTTTATGTCTCCATAAAGAGGACCTGTCACATCCTCTTTGCTATTACATAGGAGGCTTGTTAGTAAGTAAAGTCACATATAAAAAAAACACAAAATGCTATGACGCTATGGACAAATACACTAGTTCAGATAGAACTTGTCTCAGACACCTTTTTATTATTCCTCCCTATGCACAGTAGCTGTTGTTTTTCTGCACCACATCAACACCAGTGACCACAAGGGTACCTAGAGGCAATTTATTTCTTGTGCCCTATTCCCACCACAATGCTGTTGAATGAGATCCTAATAGGTTGGACTTGATGGACTAATGTCTTTATTCAACATCAAATACTATGTAACTATGTTGTGATGTGTGGTGCAGAAATATGCAGACATGCTGCATTTTTCCGCAGCACCCTGAATGGCACCAGGAGGTCATCATAACACATTGAGATTTAAAGAGAATGTACATTTTGTACACTTCCAATAAAGTAAAAAAAATAGTGTAAACAGTGCTTTCTACTGAAACAGTGCATCACACTGTCCCACACTGCCCATCAAAACTGACAGCCACCTGCACACTAAAACAGAGCGTTGTATTGTGTGGGCAATGTGAACGGGCCCTAAAGGTGACTGTAAACAAGTACCTGAGAGAATAAACAGTGCATGTAAAAAATATGACCAGAACTGCTTTACTATAATCTTCTTGATTTTCATCAAACACAACAATAACATTCCAAGTTTTACCTGTTTATTTGCCTCTATGGAACATTTTACAGCTTATTTCACTGTTTATTACCTTCTACCTCTGGTCAATGAAAGTATATGCACTGTATATTTTACCCAGCAAATCCCACTCAAGTATTCTATTTTACATATCTTCCCCTTTTTTAGCTGGGGTGAACCGAATTTCCTACTGGCCCTCAGACCCCGAGATGAGCCTCCAGGAAGAAATCTCGAACCACAGCGACAACGGAGATGCCAGGCTAGATGCCAAGGCAGTAGAGAGGCTGAAATCAAATAGTCGCGCTCATGTATGCGTGCTGCTGCAGCCACTGGCATGCTACATGATGCAGTTTGTCGAGGAAACCTCTTTGAAATGTGACTTTGTTCAGAAGATTGCCAGGAAGGATCCGGAATTCCCAATAAGCACTTTTTATGAGTACCGCCAGGAGAGGATTAAGGAATATGAAACGTTGTTTTTAATCTCCAGTGAAGACATGCACAAGGACATTCTTAGAATAACGGGGCTGGAGAATCTCTGTGAGAATCCATACTTTATAAGCCTGAGACAGAATATGAAGGAGCTGGTGCTCATATTGGCCACAGTGGCATCCAGCGTTCCTAAGTATTCCGATTTTGGGTTCTACCTCAGTAAATCAAGCAATGAGAGTCGCCCGAGTCTAACCCAAGAAATTGCCCTACACTGTATAATTCAAGCCCGGCTGCTGGCATATCGAGCAGGTTAGTGTGATGACCATACACCTATCTACACTTATTCTTACCTGTCATACATAGGAACCAATCACTAGTTCAGCCAAGTCACTATGCTCACCTGTGAACTAGATACACAAATTCCATCAAGCGGTATTGCTTGGCACCGTCTGGTTAGTGGACTGTTTCTTAAAGTAGTATTAAACTCTCTGGTTTTGTTCCCATAAGGAATCCAGATTAAACAAATATTCATTGTCCAGCTTAGTGTTTATTGGAATTTTTGCCCAAATCATTACAATCATCATGTTTCCAAACAGTTCCAACTCTCTCGGCTCTATTTCCCTGAACTTCCTGTCCAGTACAAGATCACAGCGCAGAGTCCAGCAGCTGTACATTTACTAGCTTAGAGAAGGAAGGAAGGAGGGAGGAAACGAGGGCGACAGGGAGTGGCTGTCCCGGCTGTGTCTTTGTGGAAACACCCAGCTTACTGGCACAAACAAGGGTGGCTCCATAGGACCCTGCAAGGGAAAGGAGCAACCCTAAAACAGGATATCGGGCCAGCCCTAAAACAGCCTTTAAACGTCATGTAGCAATTTTATGATTGCTACCAACCAATTAGGTGGTTGCAGCTAACACTGACCATAGATGGGCAGATCTTGTAGTGACTATGCCCATTATTATTATTATACAGGATTTATATAGCGCCAAAAGTTTGCACAGCGCTTTACAATATAAGACATTAAAATCACTGCAATTCAAGACCAGATGGTAAGGAGGGCCCTGCACCGGAGGGCTTACAATCTAAAAGGGAGGGGGAAGTGATACATGAGGAGGTAGCTGAACATGAATGGTACATGAATTGTTTGAGAATGTGATGGCTGAGTGGTTAGGTTGAGGTGGGATAGGCTTCCTTGAAGAGATGAGTCTTTAGGGATGGCCTAAAGGCAGTCGGAGTGGGAGACAGACGGACAGGTTGGGGTAAAGAGTTCCAGAAGATGGAAGAGACTCTAGAGAATTCCTGGAGGCGAGTATGGGAGGAGGTGACAAGGGAGCTGGAAAGCAGGAGGTCTTGGGATGAGCGGAGTGGGCGGTTAGGGTGATATTTTGAGACAAGGTTTGAGATATATCTGGGGGCAGAGTTGTGGATGGCTGTTAATATTTTGGAATTTTATCCTTTTGGCCAGTGGAAGGAGGCCAAAAGGATAAAAGGGAGGAGTTGATGAGGGAGCTGGAAAGCAGGAGGTATTTGGAAGACCTCATTGCCTTTCATTTTGACTGGAATATTATGATTTTTTTAATCAAGATTTACACTTGCAAAACAGCCCATCGCAGGCCTCAGTGAAGATGTAATATCAGGAAGATCGCGCACCAGTTATATTTTCATCACTTTAATTTTTGTTTTCTGTTTTAGAGGACCACAAGATTGGAGTTGGCGCTGTTATTTGGGCAGAACGGCAGTCTGTAAGTCCGCTTTTTTTTTTATTTAATTGTGTTTTTACCTTGACCTGATGATGTGCACACACTTTCTAAAACTGGATGTGTATTTAATTTGTACACACTTATACAACAACTGTATCACCATTCAAGTTCTGATCAGAGAAATAAAAATGTTCATCTTTGAAGGGAAATGTTTTCCTTTGAAAGAAGTGAACCAAAAATCCAGCCTAATCCTTAAGGGCCGGTTCCCACCATAAACAGTACGTTCCGGAGCGTCCAGCCTCTGGAACTCGCTGTATTGTATTCCAGCTGGCTCCCTGTGTTCAGGGGCGTACAATCGCCCGCACTAGAATGCGTGTCATCACACTGCGTGTTCCGGTCCACTGCGATCTACAAAAATGCTGCAAGCACTATTTTTGCAGATCGCACTGGACCGGAACACAGACACTGATGTGCCACAACCTTGTCGACAAACTCACTCAAAACAATGGAAGGGCAGCTACACCCATGTATCCCATTGTGAGAAAACTAGCTAAAAACAATGGAAAATACTACACCCATTCACAAAAAAGTTCCCCCAAAAATTAGAAATCCCTTCTAAAAAGATTGGTTCAACACAGGTAAATCAAAATTATTGATACAATATTTAATAGTAGAAAAAGACATATACAATAAAAATACTACACCCAAAACATTGCCCAAAGAAAGTGTGGAATTGCAGCAGAGAAAAATCTTTCCTGCCAGACTGGGCTGTGTGGCAAAGCTGTCTAAATTGAAGAACTGGATGGACAGCAGTGCCAGTCCTTTGACAGATAACATGATTCTAATATATGTATTTCATCTGTGCATTTAGTTGTTTGCCTAAAGCCTAATTTCAACAGCTTGCTGGTGTAAGGTTGGGTTTAATGGGCTCTCATATAAGAGCTAATTTTAACTTCAGCAAGATTTATTAATTGTAGTCTCAAAGTTCACAGTACACACCCATTACAGTTGCTGATTACAGTACAGGTATCTTTGTTTCCTTTAAGTCACCTTTAGTACACAGAGAGTATGTAAAATTGTTTAGATGCAGAAATTCTTACTTTGATTTACCTAAGTATTACTGTTACATTGTAGTCATGTTTATAGTATATTTATTTTGTATTAATTGGTAACTATATTTAAGGGGAACTCACGGGTGCGGAACTCCTATTGCCCAAAGCCCGGACATGCAGTGCCGGGCGGGCAGTTTCTTTTTCTTTTGTATTAAGCCCTGCTTCGGTCAACAGAGCTAAATGTACAGCGGGGAGCCAATGCACGCTTTTTTTTTTTACAAGTGATCTGATCAGATCACTTGTATCAGCCTGATTGTCTGTCCCCCTCCCTCCCTGCCGATTGTTTTCGGGGTCCCCCGCTCTTCTAAGGGAACCCGAGACCATGGCAAATGAACTCAGGATGGAGAGCGGGGAGCAGAGCGAAGAACGTCGATTCTCCGCTCTGCTCTGTGGGATCAGAGAGATTGGAGTGCTGTAATCACAGCGCCACTTGTCTCAGCTGTCAGAAACTGCACATAAGAAGATCTGTTCTGTGTTTGACGGCATGTTTCATACAGAGAACATGTCACCTCCAAACTATCACATAGGGGCTTGCAAGCCCCTGTGTAATGGCAATAAAATTAAGTGGGGAAAAAAATTAAAAGGTGAAAAAGTAAAAAATTAAATATATAAAAATGTAAAAAATAAAATTACAAATTAAAACCAACCCTGCCACCCCCACTATCTGCATGCAAATAAACGCATACGTAGGACATTGTTTGTGCGTTGGGTGCTGCCGCCATTCCACTGTGTGCCATATTGTGGTAGCCAGGCAGCTGTTTTTTTGTATCGGGACAAGTAGATTGGGCCCCCGCTTTAGCACTTGGGCAAGTAGTTTTTTAAAAAAATGTCCACACCCCTGAGAACTAGACCCACCAATGTGGTCAGCTAAGACACCAGCCATTTGAGGGTTTGAAGTTCAGTTGAGAGCTAAAATAAGCACACTGGCAACCTTGGCAGTCGGCATGCCTTAAAGTAACTGTTTTGGGAGGCATTAAAGTGACACTAAACTCGGGTTAAATTTTAAGAATAAATTCAAGTACCTTAACTATTAACAAAAATGTATCTTATTTGTGTATCACTCGGCTGTAGATCCTCAAATCATCTCTGAATTGGTGTCTTTCCTTCTGGAGGGGGCTACTTTTGTTCCCCATTGTCCCTGTGTATGTAGTAAAGTAGTCACCGCTCCAAACTCACTCCTGTGATGGACTACAATCTCATGTTTAGGTTACTCATTTGTAGTTAGATTGTAGTCCATCATAGGAGTGAGCTTGGAGCGGTGACTACTTTACTACATACACAGGGACAATGGGGAACAAAAGTAGCCCCCTCCAGAAGGAAAGACACCAATTCAGAGATGATTTGAGGATCTACAGCCGAGAGATGCGCAAATAAGGTACACTATTATTAATAGTTTAGGTACTTTGTGTTTGTAGATTTAACTCCTGAGTTTAGTGTCACGTTAATGTCTCCCAAAACATTTGCTTATAAGACATGCCAAGGTCAAGGTGTCAAGGACGCCAGTGTGCTTATTTCAGCTTTCAAATGAACTTTCAACCTCTCAAATGGCTGGTGTTTTAGCCGATCACATGTGCAGCACCATGGCAACTGCAATCCAAATGGGGGCCAAGATGGCGCCTTCGTGGCTGTGAAGGATAGAGGGGTGTAAAATTAGCTGCTCATTAAAATCAAGGGCCCAAGAGTTTTAAAAAAAACGCTGGCAGTCTGTCAAGATGTAGGCAGTTAAACAAAGATGTTTGAAGTGTAGCTGTGTTTTGCTCATGCAGGGTAAAGTTTTAAGCTCATGTTCCAGATATAGGGGACATGTATCCCCCTTGCTCCTATACCACAGAGCCGATGCCTGCTGATTGGCTCCTCATGCACCCAGCACTGCCATATGAGAGAGCCATCAGCCCTGTGTAAGTTGTGATTTGTAGCTTATTTAGTGCTTACAACTGTCTGAGGAGATGAAGTCTGCAGTATCAGACCACTAAGACTGATTGTAGGGTTTTAGTTTCATTATTATTATTATTATGCTATAGCGCCAACAGTTTGCACAGCGCTTTACAATATAAGAAAGACATTACAATCGCAATTCAAGACAAGATGGTAAAGAGGGCCCTGCCCCTAAGGGCTTACAATCAATTATGTCTGGATCCGCCTAGCTGAGTGAGTGACAGCTGGCTCTGCCTATCTAGAGGCAGAGCCAGCTGTACCCGCCCTCTCCGTTCTGCCAGTCAGTGCTGGAGGATCGGGGAGGGGGGAATCCAGCCCCTCCTCTGTCACGGCAGAGAGCTGTGACAGGATCGAGAGGTGAGCGAACGCCGGTATGTGTTCCCTCACCTCCCGATCTACTGAGCCGACCTGTGACAGTCTCATTGTCACAGGTCGGCTAGAACTATGAGGTGAGTGAAAAGCACTCACCTCATACTTCTCCTTTTAAACTATAAATACTTCCCAATGATTTGTGTGACTTTCCCTTTTTCCAGGACTCCTCAGACTGTGACGGCACAGGACCAATGTATTTTCTTGGTTGTGGATATAATGCTTTCCCTGTCGGATCTGAATATGCTGATTTTCCTCACATGGACGACAAGCAGAAAGACAGAGAAATCAGGAAGTTCCGCTACATTGTGCATGCAGAGCAGAATGCCATAACATTCAGGTAAGACACCAAGCTGCTTGCCTATTGCAGATTCAGTCTTCCCAGCCTGGTGCAGGTCTACAATTTTGTTTCTGGTGTCCTTCGACAGCTCTTTGGTCTTCACCATAGTGGAGTTTGGAGTGTGACTGAGGTTGTGGACAGGTGTCTTTTATACTGATAACAAGTTCAAACAGGTGCCATTGATACAGGTAATGAGTGCAGGACAGAGGAGCCTCTTAAAGAAGAAGGTACAGGTCTGTGAGAGCCAGAACTCTTGCTTGTTTGTAGGTGACTAAATACTTATTTTCCACCATAATTTGCAAATAAATTTGTTCCAAATCAGCCGATGTGATTTGTCTGGATTTGTTTTCTCATTTTGTCTCTCATAGTTGAGGTCTACCTATGATGCCAATTACAGGCCTCTCTCATCTTTTTAAGTGGGAGAACTTGCACAATTGCTGGCTGACTAAATACTTTTTTGCCCAACTGTACATATAAATGTAACTGCAGTCTTGAGCATCATTCCCACGAAGCGCTGATTCATACACCTGCAGGAAACCGACACTCTAATAGCAATCTTCTAGATATAAACGTTATTTCCGAATGGCATAAAAACAGCGTACAGAAAATCTACTAACATGTTTCTGCCCTAGCAGCGGGCCTAAGCATGCGCATTGAGTGCTACTTAATGCCAGCTGCTGGGTATAAACGTATTAGCAGCTTTTCTGTACTCTGTTTTTATGCCATTGGGAAATCAAGTTTATATCTAGAAGATCGCTATTCGAATGTTGGTTTCTTACAAGTACGTGATTTGATTGAGGTCTGGCAGAGAACCTTTCTGGGCACCAAGGTTCCAGTAGAGGATTTGGGTCAAAGGCGGTAGAGGGTGGCTCTTTCTGTGGATTAATGATTCATAAATGTTTGTTATTCATGTAGCACAAACAAAACCTCCAAAACATTCAATAAGGAAACTTTCCATTCCAAAATGTCATCTTCAGACCCAATTTGAAGGCTCAAACCAGTAGGCTCCATCCAGTGCCTGCCATGGCAGCGGTTACTAGAGTGAGGAGATTCTTCTGTATATATGGATTCTACAGCTTTTTGATTGACACCCATAATGATGCCAAATGCCACCAGTGTGTAACATATGAAGCTTTGAAAAACAACATCATAGAAGATTATGGAAGCAAAACTGTTTTTTGTGATGCACAGATCCCTGCTTTCTGGAGACCAACCCCTGGTAAATGTGTTTCAAAAGAGAAGAGGGATAGAAAAAGATGTTTTTTTTTTGGTGGCTCCAGAAAGAACAAGTCCAATAAACATCAGTCTCATAGAAGTATAAAAAGTATAAATTTATTGAAAAATATATAATAAAAGCATTAAATATGCATGAAAGGATAAAAATAAGAAGCATATACCTCAGGGCAAAAGATATACCTCCTATCACCCCCTATACACCACAATTGAGATTTTTGCCTAAATGATCATAATCTCATACATGTGAGGAAATAACATCATAATAACATAATAACAAGGCAACTCAATATGAGACAGGTATTAATGGAATGTATCTCAAGTTGAAAGGGCAAAGCTGATGGGGGTGATATGTTGCTTGCAATGCTAGAAAGGCACTGCCTGTAAGCTTATAAGCTCAACACGTTTCGCGCCAATGGGGTGCTTCTTCAGGAGCGGGGAGAGGTAGTCCCTTCAGTGTGAGGTCAGCAAGTGCTTAGCAATGGCATATAGCAGGCCAAGGGTATGTGAGCCCAGGATGGAGGAGGATGGAATGATCACAGCCAAAGCGGGCCTGGACACCATAAAAAGAGGATGGAGGAGTGTCCACATGAGGAGATATAGGGTCCAGGGCAGTTGAGGGGGAAGATCCTCCACCTAACACCGCTGATGTTCGTAGGGCCGTTCCCAGCCCTGCACTGAAAAGGTTTTCAGTGGTATTCTGCATTGTGCTGTATAATGTACTATGGCTGGGTTTTGTAGTCCTCTATAGCCGGTGCCATTCTGCATTCATTGCTGTATAATTTTACACTTTTCATTTCACTATATTGCACACCACACTTTTTTTTTTTCTTTTTTACTTCCACCGCTCCCAGCTTGCTCCTGTGATGGACTACAATCTCAATACAAACTAGTAGTCCCATCACTGGAGCCATTTTTTAAAATGTATTTTATTTTTTACCTGATTAATCGAACTTAATCGGCTAACTAACGATTATTTTCAAAATCGATTAGCTGCAGCTCTAATAACAAATACCCACAATTAGTTTACGACGATCGTCCATCATATCCAGTTCCAGTCATAAGGATTCCACGTCCTCCTTACTATTTGACGTGATATCGACCCCCATGTAGACATATTTAGATAATTTTTAACATAAATGCATACCCCCCACCACCCCGTCTTCCACCTCTGTCCCTCCTGAACAGGTTGTACCCCTCTATATTGGTGGCCCAATCATGTGCGCTGGCTAGCCAGGTTTCCGCTATTCCCACTATATCGAAGTCCTTCCCCATCTAGTAATCTGTCAATTCGTTCCGCAATGTGTCGAACACGAGCCCCCGGTAAGCAGCACACTGTTTGACGCTCACGGTTCCGAACCCCTCAAACGCATGTTCAAGGAAAGCATACATTGCGCACGACATGCACTTGGTTGCATACCCACTCATGGAAGACATTATTCCCTTTTTTAATTTTTTTTAATTATATATGAGATTTTATTTATTTTTTTGTTTATTTAGGGCCAAAGATTCCTGGGGTTAATTATATCACGTCTCTGGGGTAAATTTTAATTGTTACAGTTCTGATGTTAAGTTAGTACTTTAGCCTGGTGATTTTTTTGATTTTTCTTTTATATATTTATTTTATTTTTACTACAGCACTAGGGATAATATAAATTTACTACGGTTCTGTATTAGCCTTAAGGCACTCTCCCCCCACTAACTATTACTGAATCTAACTCCCCTCTAGAATCTCTGAAAACCCTACTGCAAACCACAAATTACAATTTACTGGTCCCCTCCTTTCTTTCATACGAACTGTTCTGGCAGCTCTATTTTCCTGTTCTTATGATCTGGTCCTCCTGCACGATCTTCTGCTTGATTCTTACGCCCGTCCTTCCGTCTGTTCGTCCTTCCTTCGTCTAATACCATCAGGAAACCGTCTGATGCTGGCTCCGTCCGTCCCTCCGATTTGTCCGGCCCTCCGTCCTTGGTCTTGCTCGATCGATAGTAACAATTAGTGAGTATTAAATAATTAGTAATAATCAATTACTGAATAAATCCCCTCCAGATAAAAAAACTTGAAGACTAGCTGAAGACACACTGTAGATATATTCTTGGGGCCTAGCCTAAACAATTGGGTTAAATTAGTGGGTATATTAATTACAGCCTTGGGTTTTGATTTACACTACAGCCTTGGCGTTTGAATTGCGCTACAGCCCTGGGGTTAATATTGCGCTACAGCCCTGGGGTTAAATTGCACTACAGCCCTGGGGTTATTTTAAATTGCACTACAGTCCTGGGGTTAATTTAAATTAAATTGCACTACAGCCCTGGGGTTAAACTGCACCACACCCCCTGGGTTAAATTACTGTACAGCCCTTGTGATTATTGCACTAAGCCCCTGGGGTTATTCTATTTAATCAGTAGCTAAACACTAACTGCTATACGTTGGTATTCAATGTCCAGCAATATCACAATAACTAAGTACACAATATACTCTATCCCCAAAGCAATATGTATATATACTTTAAGTGCTATTGCAGCCCTCTCAGTAATGCAATAGCACTTTAATACTATTAAACAATATTTAAATACTAGCAACTCTTCTCTCTGTTCCCGTCCGTCCGCTCGTCACCGGCCCCAGCTCAGTTCCGCCACTCTATCTCCTACGATAGCTCACTCGACCCCCTCCTCCAGCTCGAGCCACCGGCCGGCCACACACTCTTCAGTCCCGCTCCTGCTCCGTCCACACACGCTTGCTGCCCGGCTCCTGCAATGCCAGCTCCCTGGCCCGACTCTGTGCTTGCGGCACCTCGACCGCTCGACTGTGTCCGCGTCTGTTTGTGTTCCCTTGCACTTCCACTTCCGCAATGTGCAGAGTTGTATTAGGTTCTATAGTTATATGTAACTATGTAAGATGCTTTGTGGCCGCCCGAGAATTTTCACATTTTCGGACGGGAGCGCGCGGGGAAGACACGGGTAAGTTTAAATCGCTTTTAAAGCGCTTTTGTTTTTTTTGCCTATATCTACTGCTTGCTAGCAGTAGATATAGGCAAAAAAAACCGTGATGGTTTAATAACCCTTTAAGGTAAGTGCTGACATTAACATTGGGGGGAGGGAAACATTTTTTTTTACTTTAATGTCACTTTAAAAGATTTTAAAACGGTTGTTCGGATCCAAAAGATTTATTGATAATAGATACATGCTGAGTACATGTACAAACAAAGACACTTATTGGTGCTTCAAAATGAATCAATTCAGTAAATACAACATTCTAAAACTATTCCTGTATGGGATGGGTTACTACTAGGCAACTTCCAACACACCTAACAATGTAATTTTATATTATAAGAGTTACATCTAGTACTAGCTACAAAATATCAGTGCATCTTTACTAAAGGGATCAAATGTTCAAAAGGTTGTGGACATCACAACTATTTGAGCCTGCTGGACAATCCATCCCAAAACCCTGGACATATTTGCTACTATAACAGCCTCCACTCTGATGAGAATTTCTACAATATTGTGGATTGAGTCGGTGGGAATTTGTGCCCAGTCAGCCAAAAGAACAGAAAGCTCAGGTACTGATTCGGATGAGAAGACCTGGCTTGCAATCAGTGTTCCAATTCATCCCTAAGTTATTTAATAAGGTTGAGGACTTTGTGCAGGACACTCAAGCACTTCCGAACCAAACTCATGAAATCTTGTCGTTTTTTAAATCGTGTTTTTTAAAGCTGGCTTTGTGCACAGGGGCACAGACATGCTGGAATAGAAAAGGACCTTCTCCAAACTGTTGCCACAAGGTTGGAAGTAAACTATTGTCTAATAATTTATATGTATCGTGTAGCATTAACAGTCCCTGCACTCTGTGTTTTGGCAGGATGTTGGCATACTTTTGGCCACACAGGTGTGATGGTCAGGTGTCCACAAATGTTTGGGCATATAGTGTACATTTAAGTTAGAATAGAATGAGACAATGGGTGGCTTCCAGCAATTCAGCCACATAACTCTAGTTGATAATCTATTAGAAAGGTGTCTTGAGTACACACAAACTCTAAACGTAGATTCTAAAGAACAAAATGGAATAAGAGAAGAGGACCTTCCTCAAAACTTTACGGTTTGTAAACACTGAAGAAACTACGGTTACTAAGTTACACCATATTTTGTATTTAGGATTTCCTGTTACTTCAGTTTTCATCATGTGACTTGAAAGTATTCCTATACTCTTTGCAGATACAATGAGATTAAACCGGATGAAAACAGCATGATCTTTGTGACTAAATGCCCATGTGATGAATGTGTACCCCTGATTAAAGGCTCCGGCATCAAGCAGATCTATGCCGGTGATGTTGATATTGGAAAAAAGAAGGCTGACATTTCATATATGAAGTTTGCGGAACTCAAAGGAGTCAGTAAATATATAGTAAGTGAACTTGCCACTTCTGCATTTCAATGGCTAGTATTAATGAGATGGCAGCACCTCATTCTTTGACAATTAAAGCCTCCATTCCTCTCAGTTCAACTTTCCTTACATTTTGGAAGGGCAGCAGAACAATTTGACTTGTTGGACATATCTTCTAGTCTGCGGGTTTTGGTCACATTCATTGTACATGAATCGCAGCTCCGGCCGCATCATGGAGCAAAGTGCAGAAGTATGAAGGCAGGACTTCTAAACTGCATTCTCATTATGGCCAGTAACTGAGAAAGTATTAAATCAGACCTTTACCTTATTTCACTAAAAATCACATCAACAAGCAATTCTGCATGCTGATATATAATCATCTTGCATTCATTAGGTAAACAAACTTGTTTTTGAATTTACTTACTAATAGAGTTCATCTATGTCCTGGTCCAGTTTTGGCACAAATGATGTAATGTACCAAAGCGTTGCATCCTTGGAAGTTTACATCAGCAGAGCATTGCTGGGAAATCTCATCTGTAATCTCAGGAGATCTCAGGGAAAGGCATTTTCCTCCCCTGAGATGATGTGCATGGTCACATGTCCTAGTCACAAGTGCCAGAGCTCCAGGAAGTAAAGGGAGATCTAGTAACCTGCCCTTAGTTAACTTGGCCACTGTCGGAAGACTGGGGAAGAAAAGAGAAATAAGGAATGCAAAGAATACAAAGCCGGCAACTATATAGAAGTATGTGTGTGTAGATTGTCATTACTAAACATATCTAAAGGTGTTTTTGTTATTTTAAAGCTATGGGTAAAGGTCAGGCTAAAAATCAAAAGATAAGCCAGGTTATTAGTGATTTTAGAATCAATGGTCATCAGTGACTGGCTACATCTGCCTTTCAGTGCAGGTTACTTTGGAACTTTCCTGTCCAGCAATCCCACACCACTCCTTCCTCCATCGCAGGCATCACCAAAATACACAGTGTCAGCTGGTGTCAGAGCCTAGTGGGAATAGTGACCTCATCCACTTCATTGTATGACAGTTCTTGGTCCTAGCAATGGGCCTCTAGGCCTGAGTTCTTCATGGGAGAAGGTCAAATTCTCCTCTATACTGTGTGTTTTGTGCTGACAGCGTGGGAAGAAGGAGCAGCAGGGATGACTGGTGAGATATCAGTGGATGGAAGTAGGTGACTTTACACAGACTCTGTCCGGAATGGGCAAAGTGACCTTGCCTCTGTGAACTAGGTTTTAAAAAAGTTTGGGTCAATATTTTAATTATTTAACTGTTTTTTTTTTGCAACAGTGGCAGAAAAATCCACACAGCGCTTGTTCTGATGATTCATCTGATTCCAGCAACGTGGAGAGTGAGTGTGGTGTTCATTGCTTGTATCTTTTCAGCCCTGTTCATTGCTACCTTATCTGCTTCCGTGTTAAGCCCTGTACTACCCAACTGTCACAGGAGACACTCCCACCTGTTGCAGTCATAGGCTGTGTATGGCCACGTAAGCTAATAACACAGGTTATCTATATTGCATCCATATAAATGGAGTCACTCTGTAGATTAGCTGTTAATGTGCAGATGTATAGGGCAGAATTAGAAAGCCACACTCCTTTCTGAAGACCAGTTCATAGTCGATGCCATGCACCCTACTGCTGGATGTCCCATTCTTCAGTGAGAAAGCCAAGTAAACTTGGTCACACCATATTCCTAGTCATTTACCAGCACCAATTGCTTTTAACCATTTGCTTTTTTAGTGAATGTATTTGAATTATGATTTATCACCGATTTTATGAACACCCAGCTTCCTCTATGTCACTTGTTTATTAATGCAATTCCCATGCATCACAAATGAAGATTTCAACCTAAAACCTTGTTTGGCATTCATCCGCTCAAAGTCTAGAGGGCAAATGTCTTCCAACAGCTGGTGAATGTAGTCAGTTTCAGGGATGGTCATATGTCCAGATATTCTTCTTTGTAAATATGTCTGTAATATGCTGTACTAAAGTGATAACTGATTTAATTAAGCTGGCCATACACTGTGTGACCCCTTTGGTAGACTTACACCAGAACCCCCAAACAACTTTTGTCAAAATAGAGAGTTCTAAAAATCTCGGCCAAACAATGACTGAAGCCACAAACACAATAGACTGGCAGGGTAGATTTCCCCTATTCTCTGGGTTGAACAAGAAAAAACTCATGATTTAAACCTTGAATACCATAGGAATATCCTATGCTCCTTGGCACCATAAAATGGCAGTAATTCCATACAAATGACATTTGCCCAGCTTTACATTGGCCAGGAGGTTTATACATGAGCTCTTTAGTGCATGGCCAGCCTTTCTGGATGGTCTGTAGTTAGTTTGTACACAAATAATGTTTTTGAAGTGCCAGTGTGGAGAACTGCTGTATTGCCCCACAACACCAGCTAAAATCATTCCTGCCCTGGACAATGACAGATGTAATGTAAAGGTCTCATTCTGATTGGAGGTGATGTGAAGACAATTCTTATTGCTGGCACTTTGATACAGGATGCCCAGTGTGTGTTAATCTATAAATTGCGTATTAGCCAGATTTTGCTAACACACCGAGCCCTCCCTTCTATAGTCCGTTTTCTTTTTCTGCTCCAACCTTGTGCTGACTTCTCTTCTCTGTTATTCACTTTGCAGATGGACCTTTGAAAAGCAATGCGGAAGATGATTCGTGCTTTAAAAATAAGAGAATGTGTCTTGGGCAAAGCTCATGAGTTATGCCGTTTTCTCACCACATAATGATTAATTTTCAGAGTTATTTTAGAAAAGTTTATTTTATTGCTCAGTGGAAAATTCTATTTTAAGATGTACAGTGAATTATTTATTTTACTAATTTGATGCGTTTATACAGACTGGTGGCGTTCTTACGCCTGTACAGGAGAAAAGGTCTTTCACTCTCAGAGGTGAGTGGATTGAATACCCCTGTGAATGCTGCACACACTTTATCAATATCTGACCTAATACTGAAGCACTGGGCCAGGCATTTTAAAGGTCCAGAACTCAGGTTACCTCTCCTGTGACCATAGCATGTGGTTCATATTTTGAGGGATATTATAATCCAAATATGTAAAATTTATAACTTTTTATACATAATACAGACGTTGTTTTTACCATATGTGCATGCCGGTTTTAGTACAAACGTGTATGCAATGGAATATTCTCCACTAGCTTCCCTAGAGCCTCCAGTAATGAGATGAGAGGGGCAAAGTACAGTGGTACCTCGGTTCACGAACTTAATTTGTTCCACGATTTTGGTCGTTAACCGAATCAAATTTCCCCATAAGGTTCAATGTAAATAAGGTTAATCCGTGCTGACCCCTACGGAAGTGGTCGCGAACAGAATAACATTTTCCCATAAGGTTCAATGTAAATGAGGTTAATCCGTTCTGGACCATATGTAAATTCATTACCGCTTTGCACTTTTTTTTTACCACCATGCTTGCTCTGCACTTTCTTTGGAGCCATGCTGGATTGAATACAGTAATACTGTACAGTACTGCATGTGCTAAAAAGCACACAAAAAAGCTTCACGGCAAGTGTGCACAGGTCTGTCTGCACCGCGATCTCGACTAGTGGAAGCCACGACCACGTATCAAAGCGATGAAGATGGTCGCGGTCGTCACTCGATTTGGACCGAAGCAAAATTTTGCCAAACTTCTTGTTCCCAAACCGAATTGTTCGTGAACCGAGGTATTACTGTACTTTGTGTTTCTGCTTCTCACACAAGACCTTAAATAGGGGTCACGGACTCGCAGCTAGAATTCCCAATCATTCAGTATTTCAACCTTCTGGAGAATACAAGAAGGGAGTGTGACATCGCCATTCGGCTCTGTAATGGTTGTGGAAATTGGAGGGATCAGGAAATCTATCACTACTGCAGTCACTGAGAAATATAAGAAGCCGCATGCGATTTCAGGTTGTCGGCCCCCATGCAAAACTGTAATCGTTGTGGGTGGGCTTGGTCTTTAACAATAAACATCTTTATGTTGTATTGCTGAGATATTCTGCAGCACTTTAAAGTCAGGGAGTGAGAATTTGAGCACACAGTAATTAAATGGCTTCCTGTAAAATAGAGAGCCTTGTTCACAAGAGCTTTCATTCTAAATAAGTGTTTAGAAGTAGAATAAGTTCTAGATTTAAATATGATATTATGGATGGACTTGATTCTGTATAGACATGAACTTTTGCTGATTTCTGCATTGTAAGGCCAACTGCAGGAAAAGTGTTATGACCCCAATTTTCCTTTGTCACAAATTCTTAAAAATCTTAAAGGTTCATAATCACTAAAAAGAGGTAGAACACTGACGGTGTGATCCAGAAATAACAGTACCGACATAGGGGGATACTGATGTAAGCGAGCACTTTTAAGTCATTTGCATGTGCAAAACATTGTGTTCTAGGTGCTTTAGATCCAGTGACGTGTGGTACCTCATATTCCGGGTTATGCATTCCCTTCCCCCCCCAAACCCTGACCCCCCCCCGCCGGCCGAAGCCCCGTCCCCAAGCTAGTGTGAAGGAGGAAGGGAGGAGCATCCCTGTCCCTCACTAACTGTCAAAATCCGGATGCAGCGCTGCCTGTACTTAACAGGTAGCACTTCATCCATGACGGGTTACACAGCGGGGAGGATGTCCCTGCTCTGTTACCTGTTAGATGCTGATCTGAATGGAGAAAAAGCTGTCAGCTTCAGACTTGAAGCTGACAGCTTTTTCCTCCATAATTGTAGGTGAGGCTCTGCCTCCCCTGACCGCACGTCCCTGTTTAGATCCAATTGACATTTTTAGAATGGGACTTTTATAGGGCTGCAGCTAATGATTATTTTCAAAATCGATTAGTTAGCCGATTATTAAGTTGGATTAATCTGATAAAAAAAAAAAAATTTAAATGGGCTCCAGTGATGGAATACTAATTTGTACTGAGATTGTAGTCCATCACGGGAGGGAGCTTGGAGCGGTGACTACTTTACAACATACAGGGACCATGGGGAACAAAACTAGTCGATTAGTTGTTGCAGCTCTAGACTTTTAGCATTATGAAGTAACATGTAGGAGTACAAGTCACCTAAAAGTGTATTTTCACTTTTGCAGTAAAATTTGAAAAGCCCTCATTATGTGTTTTGTATTTCCATTCACACAGCATATTTCTTTATTACAGGTATTTATATAGTGCCGACAATTTACGCAGCGCTTTACAAACAGTACAATCCCTATCTCACATACATAGAGGGCCAATTTAGACAGGAGCCAGTTAACCTTCCAGCATGTCATTGGAGTGTGGGAGGAAACCAGAGCTCCTGGGGTAAACCTAAACAAGCACAGGGAGAACATGCAAACTCCTTTGCAGATAGTGTCCTGGCCGGGATATGAACCGGAGACACCCCCCTCCCGCGTACATAAAGATAACTTTTAAAAAATATTTCTCATCTTTTTAGTTGTTACTCTGGAGTGGTATTATACACAGGATTTTACAAGTTGCTTGAATTGTACAGAATAGCTTCCAATAAGCAATAAGAGGACAGAATTAGGGATTTTTGTTTTGTTAAGTGTAACTAACATACAATGTACCACCCAAGCCTCAAGATCTTTAACCCTTTGTTAAGACAAAGTTCTGCACATCTAGTTTGTACTGTGCTGGCAGATCTCATTATTAGTTGTAGACGGGGTTAATTATGGTAAGCATAATTCCCCAGCCCCCTTCTTAAAGTGACACTAAACTCAGGAGTTAAATCTTATAAATGCATTCAAGTATCCTATTAACAAAAATGGATCTTATTTGTGTATCACTCGGCTGTAGATCCTTGAATCATTTCTGAATTGGTGCTGACACTGTCCTTCCTTCTGGAGGGTGGCTACTTTTGTTCCCTATGGTCACTGTGTGTGATGTAAAGTAGCCACCGCTCCAAGCTCGCTCCCATGATGGACTACAATCTCATGTTTAGTTTACTCATTTGTATTGAGATTATAGTCCATCATGTGAGCAAGCTTGGAGCGGTGGCTACTTCACAACACACACAGGGACCACGGGGAACAATAGTAGCCACCCTCCAGAAGGAAGGACAGTGTCGGCACCAATTCAGAGATGATTTGCGGGTCTACAGCCGAGTGATACACAAATAAGATATATTTTTGTTAATAGTGAAGATAATAGTGAAGATACTTGAATTTATTTTTTAGTTTTCACACCTGAGTTTAGTGTCACTTTAACATTACATAGAAGGGGAAAGCTAAGTAGGATTTTTAAGCAAGTAAAAATGGAAGCAGCAATTTTTAATTTTTTTTTTTTTATATCTGCTATGTGAATGTGAACATGCAACAAATATGAGATGGGTGTTATCCAAATTTGGCTACAAAAGTGGAAATACACTTTTCCCTGCTATGTTTTCTTGGGTGTGTGAACTGTAAATGTAGAATTCACCTGTGACATCACCTGCTGGTTGATTGTAGTACTGCACTCGGTTCTTCAGATATTGCTTTGCAAGGGCTATTACAAGAGGCTTAGATCTTCCATGCTAAGTAAAGCAACACTAATATGGATTTCCATTTAAAATGTAAATCCTCTTTAAAGGGATTTTCCACTTCATATAAAAAGTGTACCTGTCTAGAGCTGTCAGTAAAGCATCCTTGTCTGTAGCTGCCAACAACATTCTATTATCTGGAAGGGGGCTTTATTGTGACCAAGCTTTTCCATCAAGCATAAAAACTAGGGATGCTCCGATACCACTTTTTTCAGACCGAGTACCGATACTTTTTTTCAAGTACTCGCCCATACCCATTACCGATACTTTTTCTTAAAGGGACAGGTCAAATTTTTTCTAAAGCAATACAAAATCATGATTTTAGGCCAGTTTCTTAATATTATGAAGAACATGAACATGAAATGAATATTTATCATGCCATTGCTAACTAAGGCTTGTATCCCCATAGTGGAACATATATAGCATTGCACTTGTGCAAATATAATCCGCAGGACAAAATTCAGGCAAACATAAAATGTCACTCTTGGTCTTTTGAGTGATAAAGGATACCTGTAGCAGAACGCAAATGTATAAAAAAAAAAAAACATAATCCAGTTATTTATTCATTAAAAATAAATAGTAATATGCTTTGGCTTTAACCGTCTAAAAAAACAAACCTATATTTCTGTAGCAGCTTGTTATATGTTGGTGTGTAATGATGGTGAGTATAGGTACTTGTGAGCCAGAAGCCGGTAGGTTGTAGGTTCAAGCATCTTTCACCAAACATTTAAAAGATAGAGAGCATGACAGGAAAGAATAATATTTTAGTTTGCTATAATGGATTCCATAGCCGAAAGTACTAAATTCACGCCATGATATGTACTATTGCACATACCTGTGCAGTCCTGGTGTCATTCAACACTTCACTTAACGTCACTTAACGTTATCAAACTTATCTAAAGAAGATTTCTTATTTTAGGTCCAGTTACCCGTAGAAACCAATCAGAATCCATCTAGTACTGGTCTGTATGTCATTTGCTTGGTTGTTCTGGGTTGCTATATTTAATGAAGAACTCCAGGAAATGTAGAAAAGTGCGGGGCTAACGGCTCGTTTTTGTCTAAGAGCTAAAATAAAGAAAGTATACTTACCCGATTCTCAGTCCTACTTGACTGCTAGACCAGTCAATGCAACCTCTTCTCCCTCGGGCTCCGGAGGTTTAAGGATTGCTGATGTCATCGCGTCTGATGCAGCTGCATTAGACATGAGGACCCCGTGGGATATCCCATTGCCAGAGGAGAAAGGTGAACGCTCACCGCCTCAGGACCAAGGACCAGGTAAGTATATTTTCTCTATTTTGGTACCTAGAC